AGTAAAGGGGGCTCCTAGAAGCTTCCATCAGGGAATATTTCTTCCCCTTCTGCTTTACAAAGGGACGAGAGAAGGATGGGAACAAAGCAAACCTTTGAAATCATACTAAAGATGCTTTGTTGAAAGCCAAGGGCCGTGAGCACTCCTTCCTCTGTGCCTGCCTACCTGCTTCAGTTACTCTGCAACTGATGCACCTGCAGGGACAGGGACAAGTCTCATTCCTCCCACCGGTGGAGCTGGTCCTTTCCTGAATGTGGGATGAAGATACACGGGTATAAATCACAGTTCAGACTTCCAACAGCCATGACTCCATGGCTGGAAATCCCATGGAGTGACCACAGCATCAAGCACATCCTGGACCATCCCAGAGCTTAAGCTGTGATGAGAAGAGCTCACAGCCTCTCAGCAAGAGAAGAGCCATTCCCCCCCCTCCTCTATACCAGGACTCATATAAAAGCAATAATCTATATTCGTTTGGATTATACAAGCTACAAAACCCACCTCAGCTTCAGTTCCACATTTAACCAATCTCAGAAGCCATTTGTTGCCTCGTATATTACAAGGCAATAGAGATTTAAGGGATAATGGTCATGGCGGCAGAGTATACAAAGCAATAAACTGCTTTTGAGGTTGGTTAAATGCCAAGTGATGCTGAGGCCTCAATGCCATAAACATTATTTCTATTATATGACAAGATAAGAGGATACAATAAACCACAAAGAAGAAAAATCATCTTCTGGCCTCATGGAAGTTGTGGGCTCTGCGTTTCTCGGACGCTGCCCGAGCATCACCTCAGTGCCACAGGTTTAAAGGGAATAAACTGGTAAATTAAGGGGAGGTTTCAAAAGCAAATGGTTGTTTGAGGAAATGGCCTCAACGTGTAACTGGAGCATTGGAATTAGGACCCCAGTGATGATTCCTGTTACTTATGAAGAGGGAAATGGTGTGGAGAGGGGAGGCAGGGCTAGGGAAAGTCCTGCTCCTAGTAGAAGATACTCAATATTATGGCCCCTCCATTAGGCTGGGCAACAGGAGCGGCCCATACAGTCTTATTAATAAAGATGCTTCTCCTTGATGACACTTCATAAAGCCTCAAGTATCCAAAGCCTTCAGGAGAGGAGCAGAAGAGCAGCCTGAGGAGAAGGACCCGAGGCTGTTGGTCAATGAGAAGCTCCCCATGAGCCAGCTGCAGAGTGTGCATGCATCAGCCCAGCTTAGTTTGACTCAAGAGAGTCAAGGAAAGCCTCACTTGAGGCACTGCTCTGTGGCTTCTGCTCTGTGTATTCTACCTCCCTCCTCATCCTCAGGCAGCAGCACGAAGGGGTATGTCCCTGCTGTAGGATACTTCTCCCTCCATACATAAAGGACATGGGAAAGGGGGTAAGGGAAGAGGACAGAGTCATTTGTCCTCTTTGAGGAGAACCCACATACATGACCTTGAGAAGAATTTGGTTTAAAAGCAGGATCTGCAGCACATTGAGGTGTCAGCTGTGGCACAGCAGCCTCGCTGTTAGGAAGCGATCTCGAGTCCAGGCTCCAAAAATAGCCACCATTCAAGACCTAGCAACCAAAACATGTTTACAGCCCCACTGAAAGCCCACTAGCTGTGATGATACGGGGGGTACAGCGAGATCTGCTCGTCTATTTTTGGTGGCTATTCCCTCTTCCCCATCCTCACCTCCTTGAAAAGCTTGGCAGCCTTTCTCTGCATAGAAACAGGGAAGGAAAGGGAGGAAAAAGGACATACACCATAAGAGACAGGGCTGGTATCAGCTCCAGAGGGGAAGCAGCAGCTCATGGTTCAAAGACATTACGTTGGGAAGGAAAATAGGGGTTTTTCTTCCTTTAAAGGGGGAAAGTTACCTCTGGCTTCCCAGTGTCTCCAGTCTCCCGTGCAAATCAGTTCCCCATTCTCCTTCTCCTGTGCTGCAGCACAGCACGTTGCAATGATTGCAAGAGGCAGATCCCTAATTGTAGTGAGTGGAAAAGGACTGGGGGGGTTTGTCCCCATGCCCCTACCCCAGCTCACACTGAAATCCAGAAGATCATCCCCATTTACCCAGGGCCAAAGCAGCCTGTTCCCACCAAAACCAGAGTGCACCCCTCAAGCACAGCAATAGCCAAAAGAAGAGGAATCTGCAGGGATAAAAACATGCCAATGGACTGGGCATGGGATCAAAGGTTTGGAAAAGGAAGAAACAAAGATGCTGGAGCCATGTGGTGAAGGGGCCTGGTGAGCCAAGTGCTACCCTGTGATAACCCAAGAGGCTCGACAGCCATCCCATTCCAGTGGTGTTTTTCCTGAGGGAAAAGCACCCAAAGGTCTTAAAGAATCAGGAAAAAAGGCTGAATCCTGCAGGAAGTTTCACCATCTCCAGTGCCAGCCACAGCCTGGCTGGGTGTTGAGCTGGGAAAAAGCAGGAACATGGGATGCTTGGGCGTGCATTTGTGCGCCTGGGTGAAACAGAACCAGATTCCCTTCAGAAAGCTCAAAACTCTGGATTATCCAGAGTCTGACAGGAGCCACAGGCACCAGCACGTGCGGGAAGTCAGGATCTTTCTGTGGCAGATCACACAGAGCGACGTTTAAAGCCAAAGGTCTGGATCTTTGGGAATGAGCAGAGAGAAGCGCAGCCCCCTCTGCCCCCTGTTAAGGCTTCACTTTAACAAGAATCCCCACAAAGAACCTGTTTCTGATGGCTCCCATCAAGGGGTCAGAGTTTAGTGCCAAAAGGCAGCACAAGCTGCTGGGGAAACAATGCAGCACGTGCTTCAGAAGCTGAGCTCTGCAGGCAGCTGCTGGGCACCATCAGCCCCCCAGCTTCAAATTCACATTCATTTTAAGATCCAAAGCTACCCATTGCATTCCCCTTGTGCTCAGCTCAGCACAGCCACCCAGTCTTAGTCCGCTTGCCCCAGAAAGCCCAGCTCATCCAGAGTTAATTTTAGTTGATGACAGGTTGGGTACCACCGAGCTCCTCCAGAGGTACTGCTGCATGTTAGCAGTGAGCAGGATTTGGGAAGGCTCTTAAAAACCTCCAATGTGAAGCTGTGCACAGAAGAGAGGATGAAATAATGCATGGAAGACACTAGGACTTACAGGGAGAGGCTTGGAGCTGGGTGTATTTAGTCCAAAGGAATGTTAAGGATGATTTGATCAGTCAGTGCATACCTACAGGCATCACAAATCTCTTAACAAACCAACGCTGAACCAGACCCACAACCTAGAAGCTGCAACTAAATAGGTTTAGCCTGGGACTAAGGCAGCATTTTTCCTTACCAGCAAGAGGAATTAACTATGAGAACAACTTCACCAAAGGCTGTGGTGAATTTCCCGTCACTGGAAACCTTTTCCATCAAGTTTGGATCATCACTATTTAATGCTCTGCTTTGAGCAGGTAGTGAAGGACGTTCTAGGAAGCCGTGCACGAGGTCAGGTTGGATCCCCATGAATCATCGTGCTCTGAATTACCCCGATTCTAACATTTCAATATTAACATGAAGAATTGGCAGAATTACCCATAAGCAGCAGTCTGGAACAGCACAAGGAGGAAGCAACCACCTTTATCTGTCATTTGTGGGAGATTGGGGGAGATTAAATTTAAATACATTGTTGTTTGCCTTAATTGCGTGTTTGAATCCGAGCTGAAGGTTGTATGATTGAAGTGCTCACACCATTAAGTGCTCAAATACAGCTCATACATTTTAGAAATGACTTGCACAATTTCACAGCCAAAGAGGTACAAGATAAAAAGCAGCCTCCCAAAAAAAAAAAAAAAAAAAAAAAGAAAGAAAGAGGAAGATCACCTGCAAGTGAATGGAAACGACTCCAGATGAGACCAGACTTAGAATGGCCAAAAAGCTGAGTTACAACAATGTATTCTTACAAAGCCCCAATCTCTGAGAGTTACCAGATGAGATTTTGGCCCCATTTCTGTGCTCTAAGAATAAACATGGCACAGAATCCATATGCAGGCTCAAAAGGATGTGCCCTGGGGATGCAGAATTCTCTTTCATCTCAATTGAGAGCCCCACAAGAGGTATTAAGATATTAAATACACCAAAGAACTAAGCAGGGACGACGATGGGCGAGTACCCTGGGATGGGTAAGAGCTCTCAAATGCATCCCAGCATAATCACTTGGCAAGCTGACATCCCATGGCTGCAGCCCAGAAAACAAAGTGCGTGCACATCACTTAATACCTAATTAAAAGCTACAATCCCCCCCGTACCAAAGGCATCTTGGCACTTGGATGCTCACTGCTTCAGAAGAGGCAAACCCAGTTCTTGCTGTGCTCCACGCAGGGCTGTCCTGCCACAGAAGCTCCATGTCCTAACAGCTCCCAATTGCACAAGCCCCTGTTCCTCCCATTAACACAGTGTGAGAGCTGCCACCAAGCACCAGGGAGACCCTAAACTCAACTTTGGGAATGCATAACCAAACACAATGGAGAGGTGCCTTCCTGGTTGCACGATGGAACCAAGCTTTGCCCTAGGAAAGCAAGGCCATACCCAACTCTAGCACTTTGGCCAGGGAGGACAAATTCACAATGGGCCTCTTCTTTTTTTCCTGCAAGCCCAAAATAGACTCCAGCAGTTTGGGGTTCACATAACACAAACCATCAAGTGTCACATTCTCAGCTGCTTTAAGGAGTATGCGACAGCAGCAAACACATCCCGACAGAGCTGAGTCTGTCCTTTGCTTCGACAGCCTTGAGAGAAGCTGAGGAACACTCCCAGCAAACATTAACAGGAGATGAGGGTTCTCTCTGGGCTGTGTGGGAAACACCAGTGGAATACCAATACCCCACAAAGCAAGGCAGGTTTCATTACTTGGGAGTGCACTTGCTCATAACCTGGATTTACACACTGCAAATCCTCTGATCTGATTACCTCCAGTGCTCACGTAAAACACCGGCTTTAAACTCTTTGCCTGAGTGATAAAACAGCCACTTTGATTCACACCACCACGTTCCCAATAAAGCACCCTGGAAGCATACCTGTCCGCAGCCGGGGGCATTGCACACAAACGGCCTGTCGTCACCCATATTTCATGCAGCTGAGTCAAGCTGTGGAGAGAAAAAAGAAGAGGAAATTGTTAAATAAGCTCCCAAAATTCAAATACCAAGAGCAGAAGCTGCTCTTTGCAGGGAGGGCACTGATGAATGATGCAGGGAAGGAGGTTTCTTTGTGCACGATTGAGGAAGAGGGATTAATCCAAGCCAAGTTTGAATTAGACTTTGGAGAGCCCAGCTGGAGAAAAGAGCTGGAGTTTTCCATGCCTGGGCTCCCACTAAGGCCCAGCATTGATTCTGAGAGGGCCAAAGGATTTTTGTGCGTCTCAGTGGCACCATCTGCAACTTGGGGATGATGCTCATGGAATGCTTTGGGTTGGAAAGGACCTTAAGATCATCCAGTTCCAACCCCCTGCCACAGGGAGGGACACCTGCCACTAGAGCAGCTTGCTCCAAGCCCCATCCAACCTGGCCTTGAACACTGCCAGGGATGGTTCATCCAAACCTTCTCCATTCAAACCATTCCAGCACCTCACCACCCTCACAGGGAAGAACTTCCTCATCTCCAACCTGAACTTCCCCTGTTCCACTTTGAACCCATCACCCCTTTGAACCCATCACCCTATTGCTCCACTCCCTGATGAAGGTCCCTCTCCAGCATCCTTGTAGCCCCCTTCAGACACTGGAAGCTGCTCTACACCAGCACAGGACCACCCTGCACAGGAAAGACCTCTGGAACACCCCCCAGATGGAGGCATTGAGGAAAGCACAGACACAGAAGCAAAGACAATCTACAGAGGGGGAAAAAAAAAGCGTGAGCTCGAAGCGATGAAATAAATCCAAGTCCTCTCTATGTACAAGTTATATTTTCAATGGGAGAGAACTAAAATTTGTCATTTAATTAATTAAGGGATTATAGGAGTGGTGCTCTGGTTTACAAGGCAATAATCTGGCTCCCTAGTGGGTAAACTACAAGGCTGATGGCAGGGGTAGTTTATCACAGCTTATAGCCAAGGATAACAAAACACTCACTCCTATTATGCTACAAGTGAAGCTGTCCTTATTAATAAGAAATCAAGAGTAAATAAAGTCACCCCCCCCCAACCTCCAGAAATGCTGCTGCCCCCCCCCCCCCCCCCCCCCCCACTGCTCTCTTTATAGCAGGATTTTAAAAAGCCATAACAAAGCAAATGCTTTCTCTTCAGGGGGTTGCCTCTGCAAGCACGTTCCGGCTCTTCACATCCCTTCCAGCATCTCTTCCTCGGCACTTGGCTCCAGTGACACATGTCAGCTCGCTGCAGGCAAGAGCAGAACTGAAACCCAAACGTGGCCACAAAGCCCTTTTGAGGGCCCTTTTTTGCCTTTCTAACCAGTCACACACGCACCGAGCAGCGCGAGAGGCTGGGGAGGGGTTGTTATTTTTAGGAGCCATATGAGAAAGTGCTCCAAGAATGCGACGGAACAGCGGAGGGGGAATGCTGAGGGACAGCAAATACTCCCCTTCTGCTTGGATTGAAGAGGCACAGACATCACTTAGGGCTTGAAAACAAGATTATTCTTGTATTACCATGTGCTAAAGCAGCTAAAATGGGTGGCTACAAGGTGAGGGGGGGGGGATTCCCCTCCCTGAGCACTGGCTTGGCTGCAGCACACAAAGCAACAACCAAAAGTTGTAAGTAGCTGCCAGGTCTTCTCCTGCAAGAAGAGGAAAGATCTCCACAACCCTGGCCTATGGGTGGATTTAGCAAGGAAAACTCCAGGGCCTATACAAACACAAGCTCCCAAAGGAGGAAGAGCCCTCTCACAAATGGAACAGGCGAGCAGCCAAAACGCTCCCTTGTACAGGACAAGTGTAAGGATAAAGGCAATAAAGGTGGCCAGGAACATAGAATCATAGAATGGGTTGGGGTGGAAAGGACCTTAAAGCTCATCCAGTTTCAACTCCCTGCCACGGGCAGGGATACCTTCCACTAGAGCAGCTTGCTCCAACCTGGCCATGAACACTGCCAGGGATGGGGCAGCCACAGCTTCTCTGGGCACCCCGTGCCAGCGCCTCAGCACCCTCATAGGGAAGAACAAGGCCAGGCTGAATGGAGCTTGAAGCAACCTGCTCCAGTGGATGGTGTCCCTGCCCGTGGCAAGGGGTTGGAACTGGAGGAGCTTTAAGGTCCCTTCGAGCCCAAACTAGTCTGCGACTCGTTGATGAAGCAGCTCCAGGTTAAGAGCTGTGGTGCTGAGAGCAGCAAAGTCACCAGACGTTAAAGGACAGTTACAATGCCTCTTGCTGTCAAAGTGAGGCCAGTTCTGGAAGTGTTTGAAGAGTGCTTAAATCACCCTCCTACATTTAAACTCGGGTGCGTGGGATGAGGTTGAGGATGCGCTTATTCCAGCCACAAACAAATCTGATTGTTAAACAAGCAGAGGAATTATAATGGAGGGAGGGTGCTGGATCTCACAGAGCAGCCAACCCTGGGCTGGCTTAATTACACAGGTCAGGGATCTGCCCTTACCCGAGCAGCCCAAGCCTTCCCCAACATGAAGAACCTCAGGGTCTCTCTACATCCTATTCAGGGGGACCTTACCACTCTCTACTGCCTGACAGGACGATGGAGCCACGAAGGGGCTGCTCCCAAGGGATGGGACAAGAGGAAACGGCCTCAAGCTGCACCAGGGCAGGTTTAGATGGAGCTGAGGAACAATTCCTGCCCCAGAGGGTGCTCAGGCATTGGAACAGGCTGCCCAGGGCAGGGCTGGAGTAACCGTCCCTGCAAGTGCTCACACACCTTGGAGACAAGGCCCTCAGTGCCATGGGTTAGTGGTGGCCTTGGCAGTGCTGGGAATGGTTGGGATTGATCTTAAAGGTCTTTTCCAACCTGGTTAATCCTATTCTATTCTGTGCTTCCAACACATATAAAAGCTAGTAGAGAAATTAAAGAACCAGAGGAGCTGTCAGTCCCCATGCTCTGATAACACTACCTAAAACAGAAAGCAGGAAAACAAACCAGGGCTGCCTGCAGGTGACTTCTGAGGTCCTAACAAGCAGCTCCATTAAAACCCAAGAACAACCCATTGCAAAGCCCTCCGTTTACTTGATCTTGCAAAGCATCAGGAGGATTCACTCATTCCTTAGAGCAAGATTTAGCTGCTCATTCACTACTGCCTATGCCTGGTATGTACATACATGTGCTCAGATTTATGTCACATTTAGGCAGGATAAATTGCTTCAATAAATTCTATTCTGAAGAACAGGCAGAATAAGCAGCTGATTGGATACTGGGAGCACATTCCCATTCCTCTTCCTGCAGCGGCAGGACAGTATTTCACTGCTTTGATGAGTTTCAGCATGTTGGAAACAGCAAGGTGAAGGGAAGAAATGCAGACAGATTACTGAAGCGTGCTTCCAAGTTCTGTCAGCACGGCTCTGACAAGCTGCTGCTGTCTCAGGGAGAGCTGAAAAGCCATTTTCAACCCAAATACACTGTGCTCCAAGAGCCTGTGTGTGTTTTCTGTCTCTTTTGCCTTATTAACTCATGCAAACGACCTCTAGGCTGGCTGTAAAAGAAGGGAAGCTGAAGCCACACTTCACAGCGGTCTCCAGTGTGTGTTGTGCTGATAATCAGACACCCCTTGGAGCTTGCACAGGGTATTTAAGAGCACAGATTTCCTGAAGCCTACTTGTATACAGCAGTGCTCTCAACGAGAGCAACTCCTCTGGAGCAGGCACAGCATGGGGGAAAACAGAATAAACATGAGCTTTGCATCCAAGAGAGCATCTGCTCTGCTGTGGATCTCAGTCCCACCTTCAACCGCAGCTTTAACTCCTCATCAAAGCAACTGCAGCATCACAAGGGGATGGTTGTGAAGAGGGACAAGCAGAGCCCAGCCAAAGGGCACACTTGACCAGTCAGTCGTGCAGCACTGCTAATCCAGAGTGTCAGCGCTAACAGAGCTATGACAGCTTCTTCCTGAAGTTAATCTCCTCCTTGATTTGTTGGGACATCGCCTCTTCCTATTGCTAGCACGGAGATAAATGAGAAATGTTCTGTGGAGCAGCTCAGTGCATGCCAGGATGCTGGGCTCACACTGAGCTGACACAGGAGGCACGTGTTGTGATAGCGTCCAGGAGATGAGGGGCTCTTCCCATGACCTGGCTTCAGTGTGGGCTTGAGCCTAGAACCGCCCCTGTGTGCTGGGCTGCACCCCCAGAGCACAAGCAGCAGCACAGGGAAGGGATCCTGCCCTTCCACTGCACTCTGTGAGACCCCCCCCTGCAGTCCTGATCCAGCTCTGGGGCATTAACACAAGAGGGACGTGGAGCTGCTGGGGCAAGGCCAGAGAAGGCCACAGAGATGCTGCGAGGGCTGGAGCAGCTCTGCTCTGGAGCCAGGCTGAGAGAGCTGGGCTGGGTCAGCCTGGAGAAGAGAAGGCTCCTGAAGGGGAGACCTGAGAGCAGCTCCAGTGCCTGAAGGGGCTCCAAGAAACCTGGAGAGGGGCTTGGGACAAGGGATGCAGGGACAGGACAAGGGGAATGGCTTTAACCCTGCCAGAGGGGAGACTGAGATGAGCTCTGAGGCAGAAGCTCTTCTCACCCAAACTGAGCTGCTCACCAGATCCTCTGTTTGCAATGAAGAACTTGTCTGGGCCCCCAGCTGGGGAGAAGTGATTTTACTTACCTCAGAACCCAAAATTTCCCCTTCTTTCCAAGTTCCATTCTTCCTGCAGCTACTCAAGCCAGCCCATATGCTACTGTCCCCCTGGTACATCACTGCATAAACTGAAGTGGTCCCAAAGCATGTTAACTAAGCCATTAAGAAAAAACTAAGCCCATTATCCTAGTCTAGACAGACACCTAGGGGTAATATTTTAAGTCCCTTAAAAGGAATTAGACGTATTACATGCATCAACAGCAGCAATGAAAGAGCAGCCTTCCTGAACAGGATTTCCCCCAGGAAGTGTGTTGGCACCTCATGGAACCCATTTGACAAACTTCAATTTGGAAACAGTTTAGGAAGAGACAAGAGAAGCAGGAAATGTGTTTTTGAAAGCACATTCAGGGATCTTTTCAATCCAAGATGCTCCTTATCCTTCCAAATGCACTAGTTTGGCTTCTGAGATATGCCCATAGCCACAAGACAAGTCATGGGTATGGCTGGCAGCTTGATGCCACAGTCAGGCTCTTCATTGTCTTTAGGAAGTCACCTACAGCAACACTTCCATGTTACCACAAGTATCCTGCACCCCAGTGTAGGCTGACTAACACCAGGATCCAGGTACAGGAAGTGTGGGGTTTGTGCTGCTGAAGCTCTTATAGACTGTTCCAGCTGAATTCCTGACAAGGAGCTGAGGTCTGGAGCAGCCTCAAGCCACGATCTGTAACTCTTG